AATACAGTGGGTGATCGGTTAACGAACATAATCCGTTCCAAGACTTTGTTCGCTATCCGAATTGTTCGTTAACCGATTATCGATTTACCATAGGTTTCTATGGGAATTTGATTAATTCGTTCTGGAGACCCCAAAAAAATAAAAAAATATATACATTCTTACTACATTTATTCATATGTAATAATAAAAATACATATATACAAGGTCTTGCATTTTTATTAGTCGTGTTTTTTCCGTTTGTGGGGGTTAAAGAATCTGTCCAATGTCGATTGCTTTTCTGTCTTCTTCATGATTTTTCAGAAGTAATTAATAGCACTGTAATTGTAGAGATCTATAGGCCTATTAACCTCAACCTGGTTTGGATGCCATTTTAAGACCGTTGTTCTGACATCCTCACACTTCTTCAAAAGATCTTTAATAGCAGATATTGGCATAAATCTGCTTTTTCAGAAGAAAACATAAAAGAATTGTTTCTGTCAGAAATATAAAAGGCTGGAATTACAAGAAAGAGTTTCAAAGTTCGGGGAATACTATTCGATCAGTATATACTGAGTAGAATGTTGTTGTCGACGTCTCTCGCACTCCGAAAAGTTTCGAATTGTTGCCTGAGACAAAGGAAGACCAATTGGTATTCGTTATTTACGTCGCTTCTTCTTGTGTTTTTTCAGTGAATTGTTCATTATCTGAACATGTGTTGGTTGTCTGATCATAAAAATCTTTCGCAAAAGTGTTCGTTAACCGATCACCCACTGTAGTTTTATCTTAAGATAAATTACAACATTTTACTTATATGGTAAAAGATGAATGAAAGCTTAAGAAACATACTGTATTTAGCATTTTGAACCTTTTTTAATCTATCTTAATTTGTAATTTTTAAAAATATATTTTAATTTTATTAGATGGTTATTGATGTAATTAGGTTATAAAGTTTTATTTGTTAATATTTTTTACTTAAAAATTATTTGTGTAAATTTTTTTAAATGAAATTTTAAAAAATACAATATTGTTTTGTTTTACAGGTGAATTGAGGCATATTACAAAACTTAAACCTTGGGGCCTCTATGATGTTTTAACTGAGAAGTATGAATGGGATCCTGCTGAAGCACAGGCTTTTGCTGATTTTTTGCTCCCAATGTTAGCCTTTGAGCCCAGTGAACGTGCAAAAGCATCTGCTTGTTTAAAACATCCTTGGTTGAATTCATGACTGCACTATCACATATAGATTTTCTTCCTATGACATTGACATTGGAAATTCATTAACAATCAGATTGTGATCATTTCTCCTCAGATTCTTTAGCAGCCCGACAGTATACTTTCACTAACAGATCTGTATGAAAGTTATTATTATAACTATTATTACTTGTTTTGCTTATTACTAGAAAAATAAAAGAAAGTATCACATCACCATGTACAAAGATTCTTCACAAGCAACTACAACTACAATTGCTGGAAACTGTAATAATAAGTGATATGCTAATTATATCATAGATTAATTCTAAAGTGTTTTAAATGTGATTTTTTTTTTCTTCTGTTGTCATCTTATGTTTGAATACAAGAATATCATAAATTAATTTTTTTAACATTATGGGATATTTGCTTTGGTAAACAGAACAGCTGTGTAAGATGTGTGTCATTAGTTTTATTATATTTCCAATCATCTTGAATACATTTGCTATCTTTCACTTCGGACAAATGTACAGATCTAGATATGATAATTAATCTTAGCTATATTAGATACAGACCATTTAAGTAATCCATTTTAATTTATTTACTTTAGTGGATGAGAAATATAGTTACCTGAATCTTTCAGCATATTGCAGATAACTAGTTATTGAAAATACATTTTTTTTTATTTAATTACATTTAAATTTCTGTAGATTATATAATTAAAAATTTTTTTCTGTTCAATGAAAAATTTACAGATTCAATAAAGTATTTTTGTTATTTAGTTAATTTTTATAATGTTTATTTGTTACTCCACATCCAATAATTATCTTGCTCAAAGAATTATTAACTTGAGGAAGAAATGATATCATTTTGACAGATAGAATTAGTTGTTAGGATAGTTTTAATAATATACTATCAGTAATATGTTATAAAAAAAAAATTGAATAGAAGTATTGAATATTTGTATAGCACTGTTTCATCTCTTTTTATGATTGTGTGTGCGCAATTAAATATGGATTTGTCAACAGTGGATCCCAGTTACATGTCTTCTTATAACAGATTTTCAGAACTGAAAGAAAATGTGTCATGGGAGAAACAAAATTATTTAAGTTGTCTTCATAATCAAATTGTTATAAACATCAGGAAGGCATTTTCACCTGTACAGTAAGCTTCTTATGCTATCTTGAACCTGCCTTTCTATGTAATCAATTTGTGAATTTACGTCTTTTATTAAACAGTTTAAATGCGATTCTGTATAAGTTTTGGTTTTTAAATATAAATATATATATATATATATCTGGCTCACTGCACATATGTCTGAGAAGAATATGTACTATTACTACTAAAAGATATTGCAGGATTTTTTAAATCAGCAATAATGATGATCATGATGATAATTATAAACTAAATTTTGTTAGTGTTTCAATGAATAATTTGCATTGAATAATGTTCAAAAGAATTTGCATTGAATCTAATGTTCAATCTAACTCAGATAAATAAAAAAAAAGTGTAAATTCTCCCTTCAAAATTCAATATCAAGATATATGCAAGGTAATGATGTATAATCTGAATTCCAATTAATTTGTTAAATTCCAAATTTCTGTGAATTTAAGCATGAATTTGAAGATTAAGAAAAAAAAGAGTACAAGTGAAAGTAATGGGTTTTGTATTTTTGTAATTGGTTGGAGAGATATATTTATTTCTCTGTGAATTTAAATCTGAAAGGCAATAGAGAATATATGGATGTGACTCATGCTTCCACAGATATTAATAATTGGAAATATATATACATTTGTAAATCATTTTGATGTTTGTCTAACTATTTCTATTGTATTGAATACAAATTTGTACAGTTTGTTTCTTTTAGTAACTTAGACGTATGCCATTGTGTCATCAGATTGGAAATTTTTAACATGAATCAGAAATTTTCATCTGGTTGTGTTTTTATTAAAAAAACAAAAAGTATCTTAAAATAGCATAAATTATAAATGACAATGAACTGTCCTTTCCAAAAAATAAAAGATATTGACATTGTCTTCTATATTTAATTTTGAGGAGGTGGATTGTTAATTATATATATATATATTTTTTTTCTTTGTGAAAAATCAGATAAAAATCTGTTTACTTCATTAAAAGCAATATAAACATTGTTTGCCTCTATTTTTGGATACAGAAGATTTTTTAAGCTTCTTTTTAAAAAAATTTTTTATTTATAGTGGAGGTAGGTTGCATGAAGTAAATACTTTTTACAAATTATTCTATATATTACTTTTTATTATATTTATTATACAATAAATTTTAGAGAAATTTGAATAATGATAATTAAATTTCTTAAGGTAAATGTATTACAAAAATGATGTATTCATTTGCAAAAGTTGGCAGAAAATACAGGAGTGAATTTCTCAAAATTGTAAGAATAAAAGTCTAGATATGGTTTGCATGAAATAAATTAGATGTGAGGTTTAAAAAAATTGCATTATCTTACAGATGGATTGAAAAAGTCTGTTATGTGTATCTAAGAGGATTTTTTTTAAATCTCTCATCTTTATTTATTTATTACAAAAGGTAATTAAAAGATACATTTTATTTTACAGTTTAAAAATAATCACAAATAATATAGAAATATGGAAGAAAGTGCTTCATCTAACTTCTATAAATTATTAAATTCTAATTTCTTTACCATTCTTTATTATTATAAACTGTTATTAATATACAATATACTTTTCAATGTTTATTTGATCCATCCTAAGATTTGCAATTAATTTTTTCCATCTGAATAAATTTCTGATTAAGATTTAAAATTTCCATGTGGCTGGTTTGGTAAATNATACACGAATACTAGGCAATCTTCATTTTAAATTTATTTAATTTTTAAAAACGACAAAAATAATCACAGACACAGTTTCAAGAACGTAAAATGAATTTATTATTTATACCACCACTGCTACTACTGAAAAACTGGGCATTCTCTGTCGGCGTATCAAGCGCCAGCTATGCAATTAATTATTTATCATTGCTATGCATGCTAACTATTTAGTATGTCGTCCTGATGACTGCACCGGGCCATTCAACTGGCTATAATATAATGTAACAGGAAGATTAGAAGTACGAAATAATCTAATAATCTTAACCTTTGTTGTTATTTTTTGCCCAGGCAATGTTGGGCTCATCGTCTTGTAGTTAATATTATTCTGGTATTTTTGAAACCGTGTCAGTAATTTATTTCAATTCAAACACAAATTATTTATCATATTCATACAGACACTTTGCCAAGTGTCTGTATGAATACGATAAATAATTTGTGTTTGAATTGAGTTAATATTATTCTTATCGCTATAAAAAAAAATTCTAAATTATCAGAAGAATTACTTTCAATAAGAAGAAACATAAGAACACATTTTTTTTAGATTTTAGAATTCACAATAACCATATAAAAAGCAATATATTTTTCTTTATTTGTTTATTATACATACATACACAGTCGTCCAACAGAAAAGTAAACTATATTATCAATATTTACAAATCCTTTGAAAATAGATAGTTTGACCGGGCCCTAGACATTTGTCTCATTTGTCTATGCAATGATCCAGCCCTGGTACTAAGAGATTCTATAGCAAATCTGGTAGCTGGAATTAGGAATTGCAACTTAGAAGCATTATCATGCTTTATACATATGCTGCAGCTGACACTAAACGAATGCATATTTTCTAAACAAGATGTGAAAATTATAATCACAGTTAATAGAAATATTGTCACACATTTTAATCATTCTGCTGTAGCTGTAATCAAATTGGAAGATTTGCAAGAAAAGTTAGGTTTGCAGAAACATAAATTAATTCAAGATGTTCCTACTCGCTGGAATTCTACATACTACATGTTGGAACAGCAAAAGGCGCTTGTCAGATATGCTATAGATAATAAAATTCCTACGTTGAGCCCATATCAGTGGTCTCTCGTTGAAAAAATTGTTCTACTTGTAAAACTATTCAAAGAAATTACTGTGGAAAGCCAGCAAACGGGAAGCCACTTCATCTGCAATAATTCCCACAATAGAGACTCTGAAATTATTCTTATCAAAAGCAAAGATCAGTAGTTCCTTTAGTGGCATTAATACCACAACAGAAGAACTAGAAAATCCAATAAAAAAAAGATTTTCAGCATAAATAGAATACAAGTCTTTATGCTTGTCATGTTTATTAGATTCAAAATAAAATTTCAAAAAGAAAATATGGTAGAGGAAATCTCAATAAGAATTAAATTTTGAAGCTTCTACTTCTGGGGTGATCAAGATGGAGGTGAATTTGTAAGTTTTTCTGATTTATTTGATGAATTAGCTTCTGGTAAACAAAAGAATGAAGAGTAGCATGTTTTTAAAAAGAAAGAAAAAACGGGATGAACAAACGTTTCGATCAAGAATTAGAAACATATTTACATTTATCCCTTAAACAAAGACATAGTGACGTATTTTTGTGGTGAAAAAGTTCAAAACTTTTTCCTAATTTGAGCAAAATAGCTATGATATATTTAAGTGCCTCAGCATCTTCCATTGAAAGTGAAAAAATTTTCAGCACTGGAGGTAACATTTACGAGCCGGCAAAAAATAGATTATGCCCTGAAAATGATGAAATTCTCATGTTTTTGCATTACAATTTAAGGGTTTTACAGTTTAAATATTAAATTTTTATTTGTTTTATATGTTTAAACTTTAAACTTATAAAACAAATAAAAATTTAATTTTTCTTCTTAACCTATTCAATACTTTTTCTTATGTAAAGTTTAAACTTTATATTATACGTTATATTATACTTATAATATGTATCGATAAAAGGAATAATTTGATTAGTAAAATTTTTTTAATATTCAGTTTGTCATGTAATAAATAATAAATATTTAACAGAAATTTATTAGTTTTTATTACTAGCATCGTATGTAACATTCTAACAAAAATACCAAAATGTAAAATTGGCCAATTATCGAAACCGATTAATTGGGGGAATGGCCGATACAGATTAATCGGCTAAGTGGCCGATACGGCTGATTACCGATTACTTACCGATTAATCGGTGCAACCTTAATTAATATATAATTTAAAATTGTAGAAATAAACATTGGATAGGGAGAACTTCAAATATTGTAAGAACTATGTCTGTCATTAAATATACAGATGATGCAGTTTTGATAAAGAAAAGAAGAGAAATAATGAAAACTTTTATGAAACTTGAGGAAATGAGAAGTAATTTGGAGTCAAAATTAGTATATATAATAGGTTTTTATCAGTTGAAAAAAATTTAAAGTGTTTGATATTGTATGCCAAGAAACTAGTACCTTGTATTCTTTATTGTCTTTGATTGAACTGTGATAAAATATGTATTCTTTGAAAGAATAAAGGTTAAAGCTCATTCAGTTATTCAAATATTTTAGTGATAAATAATGGAAGAAATTTACACACAATCAAAATAAGAATAGCTGAAACAACAAAAATCATTTGAAATGCAAGGATTTTCTTAGAAAAAGATTAAAGCCAGATTATTGAATGTTCAAAAAATAGAAATTTGCTGACATTACCAGGGGGATTATCAGATGATGATGAATAACTGAGATATCCAGAAATGCTGAAATTTTTTAGGAAGACTAAAGATGATGATTTTATAGTTGTAAGTTTCTTGCCTCAAATAAATTATTAAATTATCTGAAACTTACCAATTAATACCAACCAGGTTTATTAAACTGTATTGGAGTATTAGAAAATCAAGATCACTTAATAAAATTTAAAATGCTCAATAAGGCTGGAAATTTAAATTCAAAAAATTTTTAGAAAACACAAGGGAAAAACCCTCAATCTATTCCAACTTGGAGGTGAATAACACATTCAAGCACCTATAACAAGAAAGGGGAAATATCAGGTGAAAATAAAGATATTTTCTCTTATTTTTGACTAAGTTTTCCTCCTTTTTGCTAATTTGAAACTATACCAGTATAATAAGTCCTATTTATAAACAAAATTTAGTGCAGATCTTATATTTAACCTTTAACTTTATACATAAAAAATTACAAATTAAAAAATAAACCTTCTTCATTTTAACTTTAATTACTGAAGGTTGCCTTGGCATATACTGCTAACTCTCCATATAGCCATCTGGTTACAAAATCTTCTATGTAATCTACTGACAGTTAACACAGACAATTCCTCATGTGACTGTATTAAATTGGTCTGTATTGTAACAGTGACTGTCAAGGAGATATCTTGTAATAACAAGATAGGTCAAGTTTTCACACTTGGAGCACGTGATCTGGAAAGTGACGGTTGGTGAGTCGGTTGAACAAGTCGAGACCGGCATGCCAACCGGGCGGACCTGATGAAAAGCTCAGCTCAGCTCAGCTCCTGATTGGTAGGCCAATGGATTTAAAACTTGGCAACATTGGCAACATTGGAACGGAACTAGAAAGACTGTCTTGGAAGACTAGTTTGTAGCAATCAAAGTGTATTACTGTGTATCTCTGTAAATAGTGTAAAATAAGTAGTCTTAATTTGTGTTCAAGGAGTCGTAAGGTGTCTTTTTGATGGACTGGAAATCGGAGGTCATTATTTGAACTTTTTTGTGACTTTTTTTTTTTTTGAGAGAATTGGTAGCCATGATTCAATTATGGAATTGAATTTGGAAGTGATTTTGTGTAACTTCACACAACCCATCACAGTGTACAGTCCCTGAACAGAATCTTCTTCATCAGGCTTTATATATCTGCCTTAACAGGACTATAAATATGATCAATTGGATTCAAATGGAGATTATAATATGTTAGGTTACATATCATAATTTTTTGAAGTTATTATTCTTTCATTTCCTCAAAGCAGGATGAGCAATCTAAAACAAGGATAATATCTTGTTTTGCCTATTGGGCTATTTCATGCCAAGTGATCTAATATAGAACATGGTTCCTGCTTGACCATTCCAATTTTGGTAAAATTTTTACAGAATGTACCAACAGGACTTGTACAAAGTTCTGTAAACTTTAGTTCAGTACAGTGAATGGTTGAGGTGCCAGAGCAATTTGCAGAAAAATCACTTTTACTATATGGGGGTAGTTTTGAAAGAAATTACACAAAGTTTATCATGTTGCTATTCCATCATAAGAAAGCTAACATGTTAAAAATTGGCATCCTGGGTCAACTTTTTGTATATAATACAAAAATTCTGGAATGGGAGCTTTTTACAATACACTTGTCACAAATTAAAGTTTTGCAAATGTGACTCTAGCTTGCTTTGTAACAGTATGAAAAAAATTTGAAAAAATTATCACAATATTGCCAACTTTACCCTATTATTCTTTATTTATGTATATTTGTCATTCTGTCTGTAAAAATTTTCTTCTTTAAAACTATTATTTTTGATGACTGTATTTGTTGTCATATTTAAAATCTTCACTTTGAAACATTAGTTTCTATTTAATTTGATATTTATTCATTAGGTTGTCTGACTGAGATGACATCTATTATCAGTTTGTTTTATAAACATTAGCATTATTGTTGTTTTTGGAAAACTGGCATAAATAATACTCATATTTTAAAGATTACATTAAGATTAATAATAATCCTCTTAACTTACATTATTTTGGTATACAATGTGTGATCAGTTAACAAACATAATTCGTTTCAAGACTTTGTTCGCTATCCGAATTGTTCATTAACTGATTATCGATTTACCATAGGTTTCTATGGGAATTTGATTAATTCGTTCTGGAGACCCCAAAAAAATAAAAAAATATATACATTCTTACTACATTTATTCATATGTAATAATAAAAATACATATATACAAGGTCTTGCATTTTTATTAGTCGTGTTTTTTCCGTTTGTGGGGGTTAAAGAATCTGTCCAATGTCGATTGCTTTTCTGTCTTCTTCATGATTTTTCAGAAGTAATTAATAGCACTGTAATTGTAGAGATCTATAGGCCTATTAACCTCAACCTGGTTTGGATGCCATTTTAAGACCGTTGTTCTGACATCCTCACACTTCTTCAAAAGATCTTTAATAGCAGATATTGGCATAAATCTGCATTTTCAGAAGAAAACATAAAAGAATTGTTTCTGTCAGAAATATAAAAGGCTGGAATTACAAGAAAGAGTTTCAAAGTTCGGGGAATACTATTCGATCAGTATATACTGAGTAGAATGTTGTTGTCGACGTCTCTCGCACTCCGAAAAGTTTCGAATTGTTGCCTGAGACAAAGGAAGACCAATTGGTATTCGTTATTTACGTCGCTTCTTCTTGTGTTTTTTCAGTGAATTGTTCATTATCTGAACATGTGTTGGTTGTCTGATCATAAAAATCTTTCGCAAAAGTGTTCGTTAACCGATCACCCACTGTAGTTTTATCTTAAGATAAATTACAACATTTTACTTATATGGTAAAAGATGAATGAAAGCTTAAGAAACATACTGTATTTAGCATTTTGAACCTTTTTTAATCTATCTTAATTTGTAATTTTTAAAAATATATTTTAATTTTATTAGATGGTTATTGATGTAATTAGGTTATAAAGTTTTATTTGTTAATATTTTTTACTTAAAAATTATTTGTGTAAATTTTTTTAAATGAAATTTTAAAAAATACAATATTGTTTTGTTTTACAGGTGAATTGAGGCATATTACAAAACTTAAACCTTGGGGCCTCTATGATGTTTTAACTGAGAAGTATGAATGGGATCCTGCTGAAGCACAGGCTTTTGCTGATTTTTTGCTCCCAATGTTAGCCTTTGAGCCCAGTGAACGTGCAAAAGCATCTGCTTGTTTAAAACATCCTTGGTTGAATTCATGACTGCACTATCACATATAGATTTTCTTCCTATGACATTGACATTGGAAATTCATTAACAATCAGATTGTGATCATTTCTCCTCAGATTCTTTAGCAGCCCGACAGTATACTTTCACTAACAGATCTGTATGAAAGTTATTATTATAACTATTATTACTTGTTTTGCTTATTACTAGAAAAATAAAAGAAAGTATCACATCACCATGTACAAAGATTCTTCACAAGCAACTACAACTACAATTGCTGGAAACTGTAATAATAAGTGATATGCTAATTATATCATAGATTAATTCTAAAGTGTTTTAAATGTGATTTTTTTTTCTTCTGTTGTCATCTTATGTTTGAATACAAGAATATCATAAATTAATTTTTTTAACATTATGGGATATTTGCTTTGGTAAACAGAACAGCTGTGTAAGATGTGTGTCATTAGTTTTATTATATTTCCAATCATCTTGAATACATTTGCTATCTTTCACTTCGGACAAATGTACAGATCTAGATATGATAATTAATCTTAGCTATATTAGATACAGACCATTTAAGTAATCCATTTTAATTTATTTACTTTAGTGGATGAGAAATATAGTTACCTGAATCTTTCAGCATATTGCAGATAACTAGTTATTGAAAATACATTTTTTTTTATTTAATTACATTTAAATTTCTGTAGATTATATAATTAAAAATTTTTTTCTGTTCAATGAAAAATTTACAGATTCAATAAAGTATTTTTGTTATTTAGTTAATTTTTATAATGTTTATTTGTTACTCCACATCCAATAATTATCTTGCTCAAAGAATTATTAACTTGAGGAAGAAATGATATCATTTTGACAGATAGAATTAGTTGTTAGGATAGTTTTAATAATATACTATCAGTAATATGTTATAAAAAAAAATTGAATAGAAGTATTGAATATTTGTATAGCACTGTTTCATCTCTTTTTATGATTGTGTGTGCGCAATTAAATATGGATTTGTCAACAGTGGATCCCAGTTACATGTCTTCTTATAACAGATTTTCAGAACTGAAAGAAAATGTGTCATGGGAGAAACAAAATTATTTAAGTTGTCTTCATAATCAAATTGTTATAAACATCAGGAAGGCATTTTCACCTGTACAGTAAGCTTCTTATGCTATCTTGAACCTGCCTTTCTATGTAATCAATTTGTGAATTTACGTCTTTTATTAAACAGTTTAAATGCGATTCTGTATAAGTTTTGGTTTTTAAATATAAATATATATATATATATATCTGGCTCACTGCACATATGTCTGAGAAGAATATGTACTATTACTACTAAAAGATATTGCAGGATTTTTTAAATCAGCAATAATGATGATCATGATGATAATTATAAACTAAATTTTGTTAGTGTTTCAATGAATAATTTGCATTGAATAATGTTCAAAAGAATTTGCATTGAATCTAATGTTCAATCTAACTCAGATAAATAAAAAAAAAGTGTAAATTCTCCCTTCAAAATTCAATATCAAGATATATGCAAGGTAATGATGTATAATCTGAATTCCAATTAATTTGTTAAATTCCAAATTTCTGTGAATTTAAGCATGAATTTGAAGATTAAGAAAAAAAAGAGTACAAGTGAAAGTAATGGGTTTTGTATTTTTGTAATTGGTTGGAGAGATATATTTATTTCTCTGTGAATTTAAATCTGAAAGGCAATAGAGAATATATGGATGTGACTCATGCTTCCACAGATATTAATAATTGGAAATATATATACATTTGTAAATCATTTTGATGTTTGTCTAACTATTTCTATTGTATTGAATACAAATTTGTACAGTTTGTTTCTTTTAGTAACTTAGACGTATGCCATTGTGTCATCAGATTGGAAATTTTTAACATGAATCAGAAATTTTCATCTGGTTGTGTTTTTATTAAAAAAACAAAAAGTATCTTAAAATAGCATAAATTATAAATGACAATGAACTGTCCTTTCCAAAAAATAAAAGATATTGACATTGTCTTCTATATTTAATTTTGAGGAGGTGGATTGTTAATTATATATATATATATTTTTTTTCTTTGTGAAAAATCAGATAAAAATCTGTTTACTTCATTAAAAGCAATATAAACATTGTTTGCCTCTATTTTTGGATACAGAAGATTTTTTAAGCTTCTTTTTAAAAAAATTTTTTATTTATAGTGGAGGTAGGTTGCATGAAGTAAATACTTTTTACAAATTATTCTATATATTACTTTTTATTATATTTATTATACAATAAATTTTAGAGAAATTTGAATAATGATAATTAAATTTCTTAAGGTAAATGTATTACAAAAATGATGTATTCATTTGCAAAAGTTGGCAGAAAATACAGGAGTGAATTTCTCAAAATTGTAAGAATAAAAGTCTAGATATGGTTTGCATGAAATAAATTAGATGTGAGGTTTAAAAAAATTGCATTATCTTACAGATGGATTGAAAAAGTCTGTTATGTGTATCTAAGAGGATTTTTTTTAAATCTCTCATCTTTATTTATTTATTACAAAAGGTAATTAAAAGATACATTTTATTTTACAGTTTAAAAATAATCACAAATAATATAGAAATATGGAAGAAAGTGCTTCATCTAACTTCTATAAATTATTAAATTCTAATTTCTTTACCATTCTTTATTATTATAAACTGTTATTAATATACAATATACTTTTCAATGTTTATTTGATCCATCCTAAGATTTGCAATTAATTTTTTCCATCTGAATAAATTTCTGATTAAGATTTAAAATTTCCATGTGGCTGGTTTGGTAAATCAAGGTGTAATAAATATTTTTCTTTTTAAAATTAAAATATCTATCAAAGAGAAAGAACAAAATAAATGTTTCTTCTTTTACAATATGTAAGAATGTGATAAGCTTTTTAGATTTATATTTAAAGAATTTAAAATTGTGAATTGATGTTGCTCAAAAGTTGGATAGATAAAATATGATCTATTTAATGAATTAATTCCACAGGAAAAAAATCTTTGAAAAAATCTTGTTCTAGGCTTCTATTCTTAATAATTTTATAAGCTGCATATCTATAAAGAATCCAGATTTTTTTTTTAATTAATTGTCTTAAGTTTATTGTAGAAAGTTCAAAACTTTGTAACTATAAATTCTATTATTTTTAAATGATAAATTTGACAAAATTACTGGTTAAAAAAACAAGAGTATCACCATCAGTTTGTTAAATAAGTTTATCTTTAAGTCAGTTTTAAAATAAAATGATTATGAAATATATTTTGCTTTCATTTTCAAAATGGTGAATAGCTTTTAAATTGGCTATTATTCTTTATTATACAGAAAGTAAACATTAAGTTAATCAGATATGATTTCTCTTTCAGAGCAGAATACTTTTTGCTTAAGTTCAAGTAATTTGGTGGTAATTTTATATACATTGACTGTTTGCTTGTGTTTACAAATTGGATTTCTTATTTAAAAATATTTCTACTGGTGAGATTTTAATTAAAATCTTAATCAATCTCTCCTTTAAGTAACAATCAGTTGAAGCTTTTGAACTAAAATATAGGAAAAAATTTAAACATTTAAGGTGTTCTTATAAGTTAAGACATTTTCTGTTTTAATTTGGAAGAATATAAGTTTGAAATTTCATCAATTTTGTTGAATATAAGAATCAATTCAATAAAACATTTAAAACAAGGAATTTTTTTAAGATATGAATAACATTAAAGACGATTTAATATTATTGGTAGTAATAATTTTAAGATTAAAGAGTGGGTAAAAATAATAAAGCGCCATAGTAAAATTAATCACTTAATTTCGATATAAATAATATAAATTCTCGAAATAATTAAAATAACTTAATAATCACTTTAATTTTCTAGAATAAATTAAAGTGAGAGTGGTCACGTGATCGCCACTTTGATACATTTTGATACATTGTATCAGTTGGTTTGTTACAATTTTTTCTTTATTCGTTTTAGGCGCGCGCGCGCGCGCGTTAAATTTTATCATGGATACGGATAATTTAGGATATTCCGAAATAAGAAACCTTCTAGATAAATGGAATCTTGTTAAATTATCGGGGATGGAAGTGGATAAAGTTGTTACGGAAATAACCGATTGTCTTTTCGGCGGAGAAAAATGGCGGCAATTAGAAAGTTTTTTGCGAGAAGTCGATTGCTCTTATCCCGGAATATTCGAGGAATTATATAATAAAAATGAAAGATTTTTACTCCAGGTCATAGCTCTTCGTCGACATTTTAAGGATTACGAAGAAGTTTATCGTTTAATTCGGGTAAGAAACATTTAATAAATTTTTTTGAGATATTTTATTGTAGAATTTTAAAAAACGAAAGTGTGTTTGAATATATTTGAAAGCATTTTTGTATAAATTATACAGATTAAAACATGGTGTTTCAGCACTGTATTGAGGTTTTTAAAAAAAGCAACAAAAGTGAAATCGTTATTGATAATCGGGGCCGTCTTGAGTTTGTATGAGGCCTAGTGGTAGAGTGGGCCCCCTAGGCCTCATACAAACTCAGCATTTTAAGTCGGGGAATCCCTCCTCGAATTTAAATGCCTGAAGTCTACATTACACTGGCCCATTAATTCAAATTTGTCCGGGCCACAAGAAGCTCTAACGCTCCACTGGCGGGTCTGTCTTTTTAGTAGGCCCCTTTTGCCCTGTTTCTTTATTAATTTAATAAAAAGTAGTTTTACATATCTTATTTTTGTTATTAATTAAAAGAATAGGAACTAATACTGACCCCGGGAAAAATCCCCACTCAACCCTGTTATCACATTGTAAGAATCAGCAAAATGATTCACAAGGCAGCGTTAAGCTTAATTTTCTGAAATAATTAAATTTTCGGTTTGGATAAAGTAAAGAACTGATGTTTGCTTTTAATATCCTGTTTAAGTTACTGTATATCATCTATAAGAATTTATATGCATATAAAATAGACATTTCCAGAAACACATGTTTCTGACAGTATCTATTCATATGGGGCATTTACAGCGCCCTTTTTCATAAAATTATTTACTTGATGTATTTGTCTATCATATAGATGTTTGACATAATGTTGTTATATACTGTATGATAACTTAAATTATTTTTGAGTAGAAAACTAAAAATTAATTCAATACAATTAGCAATGAGGAAATTTCTTAATATCACTGATTTTAACTTACATGCTTGCTGTAAATTGTGTGTTTTTTTTAAATATTTATGTTTAGAATTTATATACATGAAATATACTAACTTATTTCTGTCTATTCTTTCTCTTAAGTGGACATCATCAAAACTTGTACTTTGCCATCATCAAAATGATAAAATATACTAATCCAACAAAAATTAAAAATCTTTAATCAATTTAGTGTTACTTTTTATAGTTTCTTGTTGAAAATCTCTATATAGTGTCAAATTGAAATAAATATGCAATTAACAAATGTATAAGTTGTAAATTGTGTATTGCTTTCTATTTTGATGATTTAATATATAAATTTATTTTAAGAATTATTGAAAACCTAAACCTTGATTTTTAAGCCATGAAATTTTGTTCCATTTAATATATTTAGAATAACACTGTTAAATATATTTTTAAAACTCAAAAAATTCAAATATTGAATTATTCTTTTAAATTTTCATAAGTCTCTGTTTGTAGATTTTACATTTCTTTCACATTGTATTGTTTTTTGATAAGTTTAAACTCTTCACTTCATTTAATTTAATTTCACATTAGAATAAAAACCTGTAAATCACGATAAAACTGTTAAACAAAAACGAATTTTTTCCAATAAAATGCTTCAGAGTAGTATTTTTCCCTTATAGTAGAGAAATAAACATTCGTTAAATTAGATTGTTTTTATTTAGGGACATGCTGATAAATTGTTTGGTGTGAAAATAAATTATTAGTTACATTGTTTTAATTATTGACTTTTAAATTTTCCACAAAGCATCCCAAAAATTCGTGTTCCTATTTAAGCGTTTACTGATGTAAAACTTGCTTTTTATCTCATAAGTTATTATGGAAAACTTCAATTAAATGTATTATTAATTAAATTGCACCAAAGGGTCATTGTAACGTTGATTTAAACAATAATAAAATTTTAAATAAAATATTCTGAAAAACTTTATTTACTATTTAATTAGTAACAGAAAATACAATTTTTGTTACTTGTTCTTATAATAAAATGATATTTTAGGTATACCGATTCTTTTCAGAATAATTTGACTACTTTTTTAGTTAAAAGTATGTAATGCAGTAGGTTAAAACTAAATAATTCTAAATGCCCATTTCGAATTTTGTATTTCATAAGCGCAGATGTTACTGTGAAGAAAATTTTCTCTCTATAAATTAAGCTAAATTTAGATTTTAGCAGAAGTTAATGATTTTTAGACAACTGCTGTTAAAATTTTACTTATGAAGCTTCGTTTTATTGGCCACGCCTAAAAATTGTCACGCGACCGTTGATGTTTTCTGATTGGCTCGGATCGTCTGCCCGCTTATTCGTACATTTGGTATGAATGTCCTTTCATTGGCTACTGTCGTTCTTGTTTATAATTTGAATTTGTAAATAAATGATTTTATTCCCCAGTTTTTTGAGTTTGTTCAAAATATTCTGAATCAAATATTAAAAAAAAAATATTAAAAGGGTCAGTTTATCTACCGCACGAGATGCAAATTATCTAAACCAGTATAAATAATTAATTGGTAACAATATTTAGCCTAAAACTTAGAGAAAGTATGCAAATTATGCGTTGTAATTCTTCTCCGGCTTTTTCCCTTTTACTTCCCTTGAAATTTTGTTTTCGTAAATAGACTTAATTTATATTATTTCGTTTCAATTTAAAAATTCGTGAAAAGAAGAAAACTTGCACACGCTATCAGTGGAATTTACACAATCACTTCTGGTTTATATTATTTTTCGAAGAACACTATCCGTATTCAAACTGTATTATTGACGTTTATTTGATGGTGTTAATCAGCCTGACCAGTTAATTCTGTTAGATTACAAAACCTGAAAACGAGGAGACACGAAAACGCTATAACCGAATAGTTTGGTTAAATGAAAATTAGTTTACACAAAAACATGCTTTATGATAATGTTTCGTTGTTACGACTAAATGCAGTAGTAGCCAAACAGTTGTACTATACAGTACAGTACATGGGCTGCGTTCTGATTACAAAGACTAAATCAACTCCTATTCACAATTTTTCTTACATTTACGAATTTCTAAACAGTACATAAAATTAGAAAATTAACATTAAAGTTAACTAGGACATCGCGATAGAATAGAGCCGGAAAGAAAGAAGCGATCCTTGTATCTGTTAGGCATTGAGAGGCGATCCTGGTATCTGACGGACGCGGACAGATGAATTTTGTTTGCACTTGCCGCCACAAAAGAGGCTATCCTTGTACCTCGAGAGGTGGTCCTTGCATCTACCGGCCGTGGGAGACATGATCTTTGCAGTTGCGGACACGGAGAGGCAAGCTTGTGTTTTGCTCGTTTTTCCGTCAGGCACAGACAATGCTGTTTTTATTTTTGACCCTTAGGTCTAAATTTCGTTAGGCGCTCTCAGTCGCAACAGAGAGCACGGACATTGTCACTTTCATACCTCTGTGTATCGAAAATAAAGTCATGGACTACTATTTTTTTATATTTAAATGGATTTCCCATTACCTTTCGGGATTCCTCGTCGCAATTAATGGAAAATGGAAGTTTTATCAAAATCGGTCCATTAAATTTTGAGAACAAACTCGCTTCTATAGCGAAGCCCATAGAAGACGTGCTAGCGACCGTGGAACACGCACGACAAAGTCACGCGATTCGTGCGATATCGCGTTGTCGCGCGCGCTCGTGAAACGGCCTTATATCTCGAAAACGAAGCCACAGACCCCCATTTTTTATTACATTTTTGGATTCCTCGTCGCAGTTAATGGAAAATGGCAAAGTTTAATCAAAATCTGTCGAACAGATTTTGATACATAGAAGATGATTTTGATACATAGAAGCCACATAGAAGAGGCTTCTCTAATGCTCCGCTTCAATCAAAAATTAATGGCTAACAGTATTTTTAATGGTTCTGTATACTTAAATATAGTACTGTACTTTTAAATAGAAACATTTCACGCTCTGCCGTAAGTGAATTCGCTGATTGTGGGTGCACCGAATTCTACTTTCTTTGCAAAGATAAATTCGAAAAAGAAGAATATAAATATGATACATAACATGAGATAAATTCTGCAGTTCTTTCCGACTGTGCACAAATTTTCGTAATTTAGCTTCAGTCGCTATAATTAAAGGCCTAATTCTTAGAAAGTTGAAAAATTGACTAAATCAGTAATTTTATCATAATTTTAAGATTAGATCATTGAAAAAATTTAAATACCTTAAGATGTTTAAATTAATCATGTATCTCATATTTTTAGAATGGAAAATTCACCGATATGAATGCTATGTTAGACTTGTGGGATGAAGTTCACTACGAAGAAATCTCAAATGGAGATATTAAAAAGCTGTCGCCTGTGAAAAAATTTCGCATTCGTCAGAAGTAATTATTGATTATTCTCGATGTATTCACTTTTACAAATAATTTAACTTACTTGAGAGGCATTTACTTTATTATTTAGGAATCCTCCACCTCTGAGTATCTGTCCATCAGGAATTCGTCCAACTTGTACTTTTTCTCGTAATGTTAAAAAAATTCTGAAAGAGTGGTTAGAACAAAGGCGTTCTTATCCGTACCCTAGTAAAACCGAAAAAACCTGGCTGTGCTCTCAAACCGGACTCACCATGAAACAACTTGAGACTTGGTTTGCTAACAATAGAAGACGAAATCTGATGGGTAATGATACAAAGTTGTTTTTCTTTTAATATGTGAATTATGAATTATTTCTAAAATTATGAACTTGAGATGATATATAGATGTGGTTTTTTAAATATAATTTTACAGGAAAAAAGAAAGTTGGAAGACCTTCTAAAGCTAAGTCTAAAGGAGATATTGAAATTAAAGAGTGTGTTGCTGTGGAAGGTATGTTAGCTTTAAGTGAAACATTAAATGAAACAATACCGACAGATTTGGAAGTCGGCAAAGTAACCGAACAAAATGTAAAAATCGAGACAAAAGAATATTGCATGTCATCAACCACATATTTTAATTGCATGTATCATCCTCATATCAATACCTTTCTGGAACCCGATTCCCTTCAATCTTCTCGTATGATGAGCCTTGTATCAGAAGTTGGTTTCTTTGCTCCAAATTACAATTTTTTGTATGACGACTGGGCAACGAATGTCTTGTACTCTACTCTTAACGATGGTTTAATTTATGCTAATCAGAACAAACCTATAAACCAGAAATTTATCCCTGATAACGGTAGAGACCAACTATTGGAAAATTCAGTCTGTTAAATTCTCTTTCCTGCGTTCAGAGTTGAAGGTTCAGTATTTCAATAATTTAAAAAGATAGCAATAATTTTCCTAAGTATTAAGTTTTATTAATTTATTGTTTGTTTTTAGGAATACAACGTTTAAGATAGAAAATCGGATGCAGTGATTACTATTTTGAATCAACTATTTCAATAGAAAAATCTTCAAATGCTATTAATTTTTTCATGAGTTTTTTTCGATTTTTGTATGAATTTAATTTTTAACTTGCACGATTTTAATTATATTTCTCAAATATACATATTTTAGAAAAGAAGAAAAGATTTTATGAAATTGCAAGAATTTTTTTCATTTGTATTATTTATATTTTAATAAAGAATTAGAGTTTGCGTTCGAATCTGTAATATAGTTAACTTAATCATAAATTATCAAATTTAATCATAGAATAATTTAACGAGTAACTTTATTATATACTGTTGTTTAGGTTTACAGTTGTTTATTTTGACTGCTACTATTGAAACAAAACTTTTTAAGTCTCCGATATTGTGTTTGTCTTTGGGAATGTGAATTTTTTGAAATATTCGAAAGTTTTAATATTAAATAGTTTTTATGTCTATACAAAATTCGGATACAACGATATAAATTCGATAATTCTTTCAAATTGAAATTTTCTCTCGAAAGCAGATTTTTTTTTTACTCTTTCCGCCCCGTGGGCACTAAGAGGGCCTCTTTTTGCAAGCCCATTATGGGTTCGGCCAGGACAACAATGGGGCTGCCGGGTGGTGAAGGACGGGGCCCGACATATCCGAACGGACCACTCCCCGAAAAATTCCTGGGGACTTTTGGACCCGTTCGGACTCGAATCCGGGTTTCCCAGAGCGGTAGGCTGCTACGTTGACCGCTCGGCCACCCGGCCGCTATCTCTCTCGAAAGCAGACCAGAACTACTGAGGAACCTCGCTTAACGGGTATAATTCTTTGCAGAATCTTACTCGTAAAGTGAAACATTCGTTAATCGAAAACAATTTTTCTCATATAATTCATGTAAAATGCGATAATGCGTTCCATGCCGAAAAAATACTGAAATATTTTATGTATAACGTTTATTCAAAGAAAATTATACAATATACATTGTTAAGGAGCGTGAATCATCATCTTTTCTTCTAGCGCGGAATGAACCAATATGGAGTGCTAATTTGATAGGAAAAAAAATCGAAATACAGTAATTTCTAATATTTAATTATAGCCTTTGCATAGCCTAAGAATTTGGCATATCGTTTGGCGTGTTTATTATATGTATAACGGGCTATGGTTGTCGATGTTTATGTTACTGTGAATGAGCGATATCTGGCGAATGTCAATATTCTCCGGTGAATGTCAGCATTCACACAGTCGTTTCGTGTATGTACGAAATATTTGCTAAATATCATTATTTCTCACTTACACCGGCAAATGTNAGATCTATAGGCCTATTAACCTCAACCTGGTTTGGATGCCATTTTAAGACCGTTGTTCTGACATCCTCACACTTCTTCAAAAGATCTTTAATAGCAGATATTGGCATAAATCTGCTTTTTCAGAAGAAAACATAAAAGAATTGTTTCTGTCAGAAATATAAAAGGCTGGAATTACAAGAAAGAGTTTCAAAGTTCGGGGAATACTATTCGATCAGTATATACTGAGTAGAATGTTGTTGTCGACGTCTCTCGCACTCCGAAAAGTTTCGAATTGTTGCCTGAGACAAAGGAAGACCAATTGGTATTCGTTATTTACGTCGCTTCTTCTTGTGTTTTTTCAGTGAATTGTTCATTATCTGAACATGTGTTGGTTGTCTGATCATAAAAATCTTTCGCAAAAGTGTTCGTTAACCGATCACCCACTGTAGTTTTATCTTAAGATAAATTACAACATTTTACTTATATGGTAAAAGATGAATGAAAGCTTAAGAAACATACTGTATTTAGCATTTTGAACCTTTTTTAATCTATCTTAATTTGTAATTTTTAAAAATATATTTTAATTTTATTAGATGGTTATTGATGTAATTAGGTTATAAAGTTTTATTTGTTAATATTTTTTACTTAAAAATTATTTGTGTAAATTTTTTTAAATGAAATTTTAAAAAATACAATATTGTTTTGTTTTACAGGTGAATTGAGGCATATTACAAAACTTAAACCTTGGGGCCTCTATGATGTTTTAACTGAGAAGTATGAATGGGATCCTGCTGAAGCACAGGCTTTTGCTGATTTTTTGCTCCCAATGTTAGCCTTTGAGCCCAGTGAACGTGCAAAAGCATCTGCTTGTTTAAAACATCCTTGGTTGAATTCATGACTGCACTATCACATATAGATTTTCTTCCTATGACATTGACATTGGAAATTCATTAACAATCAGATTGTGATCATTTCTCCTCAGATTCTTTAGCAGCCCGACAGTATACTTTCACTAACAGATCTGTATGAAAGTTATTATTATAACTATTATTACTTGTTTTGCTTATTACTAGAAAAATAAAAGAAAGTATCACATCACCATGTACAAAGATTCTTCACAAGCAACTACAACTACAATTGCTGGAAACTGTAATAATAAGTGATATGCTAATTATATCATAGATTAATTCTAAAGTGTTTTAAATGTGATTTTTTTTTTCTTCTGTTGTCATCTTATGTTTGAATACAAGAATATCATAAATTAATTTTTTTAACATTATGGGATATTTGCTTTGGTAAACAGAACAGCTGTGTAAGATGTGTGTCATTAGTTTTATTATATTTCCAATCATCTTGAATACATTTGCTATCTTTCACTTCGGACAAATGTACAGATCTAGATATGATAATTAATCTTAGCTATATTAGATACAGACCATTTAAGTAATCCATTTTAATTTATTTACTTTAGTGGATGAGAAATATAGTTACCTGAATCTTTCAGCATATTGCAGATAACTAGTTATTGAAAATACATTTTTTTTTATTTAATTACATTTAAATTTCTGTAGATTATATAATTAAAAATTTTTTTCTGTTCAATGAAAAATTTACAGATTCAATAAAGTATTTTTGTTATTTAGTTAATTTTTATAATGTTTATTTGTTACTCCACATCCAATAATTATCTTGCTCAAAGAATTATTAACTTGAGGAAGAAATGATATCATTTTGACAGATAGAATTAGTTGTTAGGATAGTTTTAATAATATACTATCAGTAATATGTTATAAAAAAAAAATTGAATAGAAGTATTGAATATTTGTATAGCACTGTTTCATCTCTTTTTATGATTGTGTGTGCGCAATTAAATATGGATTTGTCAACAGTGGATCCCAGTTACATGTCTTCTTATAACAGATTTTCAGAACTGAAAGAAAATGTGTCATGGGAGAAACAAAATTATTTAAGTTGTCTTCATAATCAAATTGTTATAAACATCAGGAAGGCATTTTCACCTGTACAGTAAGCTTCTTATGCTATCTTGAACCTGCCTTTCTATGTAATCAATTTGTGAATTTACGTCTTTTATTAAACAGTTTAAATGCGATTCTGTATAAGTTTTGGTTTTTAAATATAAATATATATATATATATATCTGGCTCACTGCACATATGTCTGAGAAGAATATGTACTATTACTACTAAAAGATATTGCAGGATTTTTTAAATCAGCAATAATGATGATCATGATGATAATTATAAACTAAATTTTGTTAGTGTTTCAATGAATAATTTGCATTGAATAATGTTCAAAAGAATTTGCATTGAATCTAATGTTCAATCTAACTCAGATAAATAAAAAAAAAGTGTAAATTCTCCCTTCAAAATTCAATATCAAGATATATGCAAGGTAATGATGTATAATCTGAATTCCAATTAATTTGTTAAATTCCAAATTTCTGTGAATTTAAGCATGAATTTGAAGATTAAGAAAAAAAAGAGTACAAGTGAAAGTAATGGGTTTTGTATTTTTGTAATTGGTTGGAGAGATATATTTATTTCTCTGTGAATTTAAATCTGAAAGGCAATAGAGAATATATGGATGTGACTCATGCTTCCACAGATATTAATAATTGGAAATATATATACATTTGTAAATCATTTTGATGTTTGTCTAACTATTTCTATTGTATTGAATACAAATTTGTACAGTTTGTTTCTTTTAGTAACTTAGACGTATGCCATTGTGTCATCAGATTGGAAATTTTTAACATGAATCAGAAATTTTCATCTGGTTGTGTTTTTATTAAAAAAACAAAAAGTATCTTAAAATAGCATAAATTATAAATGACAATGAACTGTCCTTTCCAAAAAATAAAAGATATTGACATTGTCTTCTATATTTAATTTTGAGGAGGTGGATTGTTAATTATATATATATATATTTTTTTTCTTTGTGAAAAATCAGATAAAAATCTGTTTACTTCATTAAAAGCAATATAAACATTGTTTGCCTCTATTTTTGGATACAGAAGATTTTTTAAGCTTCTTTTTAAAAAAATTTTTTATTTATAGTGGAGGTAGGTTGCATGAAGTAAATACTTTTTACAAATTATTCTATATATTACTTTTTATTATATTTATTATACAATAAATTTTAGAGAAATTTGAATAATGATAATTAAATTTCTTAAGGTAAATGTATTACAAAAATGATGTATTCATTTGCAAAAGTTGGCAGAAAATACAGGAGTGAATTTCTCAAAATTGTAAGAATAAAAGTCTAGATATGGTTTGCATGAAATAAATTAGATGTGAGGTTTAAAAAAATTGCATTATCTTACAGATGGATTGAAAAAGTCTGTTATGTGTATCTAAGAGGATTTTTTTTAAATCTCTCATCTTTATTTATTTATTACAAAAGGTAATTAAAAGATACATTTTATTTTACAGTTTAAAAATAATCACAAATAATATAGAAATATGGAAGAAAGTGCTTCATCTAACTTCTATAAATTATTAAATTCTAATTTCTTTACCATTCTTTATTATTATAAACTGTTATTAATATACAATATACTTTTCAATGTTTATTTGATCCATCCTAAGATTTGCAATTAATTTTTTCCATCTGAATAAATTTCTGATTAAGATTTAAAATTTCCATGTGGCTGGTTTGGTAAATCAAGGTGTAATAAATATTTTTCTTTTTAAAATTAAAATATCTATCAAAGAGAAAGAACAAAATAAATGTTTCTTCTTTTACAATATGTAAGAATGTGATAAGCTTTTTAGATTTATATTTAAAGAATTTAAAATTGTGAATTGATGTTGCT